ATCTAAAGCTTTCTTTAATTTTTTTTTTCTTTTTCCAGATTGTGATAATGTATCAAAGTCCTGTATTTTGTCATTGTGGAGTTGAAGCTCATATTTGCATCACTTGGAAGCCAACAAATCCAGGAAGGAGGTTTTATGGGTGCTCAAACTATGGTCGAGCCAATTCTTGTAATTTTTTTAGGAGGTTTGACCCACCTCTTCCAGATCACTATAAACAGGTGATTTCAGGGCTGTTATCAAGAATTAAAGAGAGAGATCGACTACAACGTACGAAGAGGGTCAAGATCATTGTAACTTTAGTTGTTGTAGTAGCACAAATAATTGTAATTTTCTTCTTAGTGTAGTTAGCACTATTTCATAACCCTATGTACAATGATAATGACAGAATGAATGATGTCTTTTTTGTGGAATGAAAAGCAATTTTATCATAAACAAGCACACATATATAAACAACCAAGTTCGATTAGCCTTCTTGGTTGACAAAATTAGCACTGAACTGCTGTCTAGTAGCAGAAATAGTTTGAACATTGTTCCAAAAGAAAAGTCATACTTAAACATTCTTAAGTTAACCTACAAATTAAGTTCTGCAACTAACAGACTTAATTTATCACAAAAACAAATATTCAGTCATCTTCAAGGTTGAGATTGGTTGATGTTTTGCTGAGATTGGCTCAAGTTTGGACATGGAGACTGGCTTGGCTGAGATGAAGAATGGGCTTGAGGTTGGCTAAGGCTTGCTTGAGTTTGTCTTCTCCTCAACTGTTGTTGAAGTTGCCTTTGTGATATAGCATTTCTTCCTTGCCACCTTAGTCCAGGTGCACTGTATCCAAGATCGATATTGGTCTGCCCAGCATCCACTATATTTGTAGGAGAAGAATGTACCCTATCTCTTGATCCACACTGCATAGGAAGCCAAATTAGTACCCAAACTACTAATATATAAATAAAAATTCAAATCCTTAATGATCTTACCCTTTCTATCACTGTTCCTATTTCACTAAACAATATACCAAATCCAGTAGTTCTTGGTCTTCCTCGAAGTCCACTACCTCTTGGCCTTCCTCTAACTCTAGCTATAATATCCTCAGAAGTTCTTGATCTCATACTTCCAGTATCCTGATGTATGATAAAGTATTATCTTGTAATTTAAAAATTTTGGTCCTAATATAGATTAACTAAATTAACTAAAATGAATACTTACAGATGCACTTGCAACAACTGATGGTTGAGTATTGTGGCCCTGACAGTTCCAGAATCACTTGTAGGACCTGATTGTTGAGTTGTTGTTTGAGCAGCCTATGATGGTTGAGAAGCACCAGCATTACTGGTTCCTGCTGTTCCAGATCCTTGTCCTTTCTGAAATTTTCAAAATAAAAAATGAGATATAGAAATTTCCAAAATCAGACACAAATTGGCTACATTACCAGGATAGGACACCCCTTCTTGTTATGGCCTACAGTCTTACAATTAGAGCATGTCATTGGTGTCCCTTTCCTTGATCTCTTACCAAACTTCTTCTTATGTTCATCTTGAGCTCTTTTTCTGTTTTTCTTAGGTCTACCAGGCATCTTGGTAATCACAGGAGGCTCAACAGTTGGATTCTGTGTTGATGGCCACATCTCCATGTTGGTTACTGGCTGTATGTAACAACTAAAAGCCTTCAGGTATGTTTCTTTCTTGTACCAGTGGGTTACATAGTCAGCAGGCTCAAATTTCTTAAAAATGCACATATTGCATGCGAGCATGGTATTCCTTTGAGCTGCCATGATCTACATGTGCATGTATTGTTGGAGAAGTCAACAATATGTCTGTAAAACCCATGTTGTATCTCATACCCAGTATCCCCATTCCATTTAAATTCATGCTTAACAGCATATTGAGATTGTTCCTCTATGTACCCCATTGTACAACATAATCTTGCAAAGCAGATCTGAACTGTTTCACATTTTCAAACACCATTTCTAACTGGAAACAAATTTTCTTACAAGCAGGATCAAAGTATACCCTACTGCTGTATCTTCTTGGTTGAGGGTTATGCACCCATCTTCTTCATCTACTTCATCATCTGTATCCTCACTACCTGGATCTGAACTGTCCAGATTTTGCTCATCCCCTCCCAACTTTCCAGTATATTTGGATCCCCTATCTTTATACATGTCTTCAAAACCAGGGTCTATACCTACACGTCCACTAGGTATCTCATCAGTATTAACTTCAGAAGATCTTAATTTACTACTCTTTGCATTCACTTTAGCCTGTCTAGCAGCAACAACTTCAGGTTCTAGGTCACTTGTCTCTCCAACAATATCCTCATCAGAACCATATATTGACTCATCTGTATCATCTACAGAAAAAGCCTCATAATCTTTATCACTCTCACTACTTAGCTCATCACCCTTAGCATCACCCTCAGACTCAGTTGCTAAATGAAAGGTATAGAAGTCACCTTCATTTTCACTAGAGTCTTTTGTTTCAGAAGAACTTTCAGAACTTTCAGTAGCCCTCTCTTTACCCTTCCCATGAGTGTTATCACCCCTATTTATATCATTGTTAGGTAAGTGTGTTGCCCTAGCATTAACATCACTTGTTTGCCCATGTGGCTGAACATTAGTGGGGTCCACATTTAAACTACCACTACTTAACATTTGATCTAGGTTCAAATCAATACATGGTGTATTAATTGTGTGACATATATACACATCAATAAAATCCCCATCCTTAAGGTCTTGACAGAAAGCTAACACATCAGCATTATATTTCAGAAATCTGAATTCTCCTTTTTGGTTAATTTTACATGCATATTTATCTAATGTTAAGTACCCCATATCCTTAGCCCAATCATGAAATTGAATTATATGTAATTCATCAATGTAAGCTTGAAGAACAACTGGCCAAGTTTGACCATTTACATAACTCATAATTGGGTCAGCCACTAACCACCCTAGATGATGAAACTGTAATTTCACATAGACAGCCATTGAAACCTATAAAAAAGGGGGGACAAGTCAGATACACTTTAACCCTAAAAAGACATAAACTTTAACAAAATGGGAGACAAGAATTTTTTTATATTCAAAAGAGACCTAATTTTTTCAACCCTAAATGCCATATCACTCATGAAAAAGATAAACCCCTAAAATAAAGTGAACATATGACTGTTTTCCTCAAAACCCTAATATAAAATTTCATCATTTGTGCATGCAGACAAAAGCCCTAATTTTTTAACCCCAAATGCCAGATCAGTCATGAAAAAGACAAAAAAAAATTCTAAAAGAGATATTTCAGTGTTTCCCCAAATATAAAATCCCAAAAGGCGAAATGGCTTCCACTATATCAGATGAAAAGTTATGCATGCAGACATAGATAGCTTTCACTATCAAACATTACCCACATTATTTCACAACAAATTAGAAGAGAAAGATGAAAACGACATCAAAATAAACAAACTAACCTTCAGAGACTAATGTGACTGAAAACGAAAGCTTTGACGAATCTCGATCAGCTTTTCATTACAAGAGGGGGGACCCCAATCGTTTGGTTTTGGAGTGATTAAGGTTATTTTGGAAGGAGATTACCAGGTTAATCAGCCATTCCTAAACCTAGGTTTAAGAGGGGAGGGATGGTTAGAGAGAGGAAAAGAGACAAAAAGTGGGGAAGGGTATGTCGGTGTACTGATTAAAAGAGGGGGACCCCAATCGATTAGGTTTAATTTGGCGCCATTGACGTGTACCGGTCTAATTGGTCATTTGCTGACTGGATGGACACGTTAGCGAATGTGTAATACACGCGCCTAGGGTCAAGGACAAATTGTGTTTATTAGTTATAGGTTTCAGGAGTTTGAGTGTTTAAATGGGAAACAGAAAAGTTTATATATCGGCTTTTAAAACCGCTACAAGTTTGAGTGGCCAGGAGGCCATTTCGCCTTGATATTACTAGTTTCAAACTCCAAACTTGATATTCATGGATTGTTATTGATATTACTAGTTTCAAACTCCAAACTTGATATTCGCAGATGTCCTAAGCTAATGGTCTTTTGATTTAATTAGACACAGCAACCTAAACAACGACTTCTACTGCTTTTTTCGATCATCGAACTTAATTATATTTCACATTGTAGCATATCTTAACAAAATGTTATGAAGTTGTGTAAAACCAAGAAGAAAGTAACAACTTGAATCTTGTGAAGAGAATGATCACTTCAGAATGTGTTGAGTTGAGATTGACCCATTTGCCTAACTGGACCAGGTTGGTTAACGCCAGGTTTATCTTTGAAGTTTGAAGATTTAATTGCCGTTTATCCGGTGAAAATAGCACGAGCTAGCTAGTTTTTGGACCAGTAATGGAAAAATAACTAGTGTTTGTAAAGTCACTGAAAAATAGCCACTATTTTGCTGAAACACGGAAAGTTCTAGCATAATATGCTGGACTGTGGAGCTCTTGCATATAAACTTCCAGCATATTATATTGGAACTCTAGCACACGAAAAGTTACAGCATAATATGTTGAATTATGGAGCTCATGCATATAAACTTCCAGCATATTATGTTGGAATTCCAGCACACGAAAAGTTGCAGCATAATATGCTGGATTATGGAGCTCCTGCATATAAACTTCCAGCATATTATGTTAGAATTCCAGCACACGAAAGGTTGCAGCATAATATGCTGGATTATGGAGCTCATGCATATAAAATTCTAGGATATTATGTTGGAACTCCAGCACATTATGAAATTATAGCACATTATGCTGGAAGCTCATATGTTAAAAAATCGAATTCCAGCCTATTATGCTGGAGCGAATTCTTAAGAGTGCTTTTGTTCAGATTTTATCTCTATACGAAAAAGTAGCTAAATTTTGATTACTTTTGAAACTGTGACTATTTTTTAATTACCAGTTGTAAATCTAGCTATTTGTGATTTTTTTCCCGTTTATCCAACTGCTTGAATTAAAAAATAGTCGGAGGTTAATATTGGAGAAAATGAAAAGAAAAACACCGAAAATACTAATACAATATTCTTGAAAGTCCCATTAAAATTAAGTAAAAAATTACAATATTACTGTAAAATACAAATATTTTTCTTTTTCATTTTTCTCTTAAAAATATTACAGGCTAATTAATCAAGGCTAACTTTAAGAGATTTTTGCTACTATAGAAGACATACGATATTCTTGAGCATCTTCCCTCATATCTCATTCCTTAGTATCTCTATTCTTTGAACACTCTTCATGAATGTTCTGCAAAAAGCATTGGTAGTGCCAAAATTAATATATATTAGCAATAGTGTCAATGTATTGAAAACACAGCATAGAGTACAAGTGCATACTGACAAGGTACATCTCCAGCAAGCATCCAGTTTCCATCCTTATCTTGGTACAAGATCGTAAAGCATGTAGTATGATTGTCAAGATTTAGGTCTGTAAAGAATAATAATAACAATATGAAACTTATTATCAATTCAATTTTCATTAGTTACATGATTTTTATTAAACAAAAATAGTAAAAATTATAAATAGTTAATTATGGGAGTGAACTTACATTTTGCAAACATTTGAATTAAATTGTGGTTAAGAACTTGATAAGAATCATAGAGCCTTAGATTAACCTTCCTTCCAATGGCCACTCCTTCCATCTTCACCTTCACGTACATGGATTTTTTTTCATTTTTAATCCACCAACCTTGATTATAATTCCCATGAAATTGCTTTTTTCTCCATATGTTAATTGGTGGCCACCCAACTACTTGATTTTCTTCCTCAGAATCCCTGTATTATTACAATTTATATTCCAAAAAAAAAAAGATAGAGAAAACAGCATTAGTAAAATTACTCATTTGAAGCAAGTATCTTGGCAAAAAGGGAAAAGGATCAAAATTGACCTATGCTATCCTAAATGGATCGTATCGAACTTATAGTGTAAAATTATTCCTATATTTAGAAGAAAAAAGAACTCCTTTTTTTGTGAATGATCCTAACGAAGCTCTAACTTGAAGATAGATTTGGATATTTTTTCTTGAAGAACCTGGACACATGGAGCGTATCCATTTCACACTAAAGTGGTCTGTTACTCACGAGAACAATTACAAAACGATTTACTAATTATAATTGTGAAGTTTTGAATTTATAAAAAGTATAATGCAAATTAAAATTGAGCAATTTCGAATAGTATATAGTTAAATTGGGCGTTTTCTCTTAACAAAATCATCAACAAGAAGGAAAAGCAATCACACGAAAAAATGGTCCTGCAATATCCATATATCAAAGGAATAAAGATGATCTAATTTATACGAAGAAGGGTCAAAAATGTCCCTGAACGATTGAAAAAGGTCTAAGAATACCCCATCTACCTATTCGGCTAATAATGCTCCTTCATTCACCTATTTGGTTTACTTATGCCTTTTGACCGTTAGGTCAATGATGAATTTAAAAATAATTATTCAAATTTCACGTGGCAACTTGTTATTGGTTGAAATTAAAATATCTAACCTATTAGAAAGACCCACCTATATCTACTTGTTTTCCGAACTAACCCGCTCCAAACACTAACTTGACCCGAATAAAAAGTTAAAAAAAAAAGACGCCCCACTTCCATCTAACCTATGAATTTACATGTGTTCATTTTCTTGATTAATCTCATGTATAACATTATCATCGAATAAATGTTCATGAACAAATTAAACAAACAAGAAAATCCTAGCATGAATGAGCCAATGATTTTCTTGACAATAATATGGGGCAAAAAACTAGGGGTAGTCTAACGGTATGATATCTTCCAAAAAAAAAAAACTTTGCAATCTTTCCGTTATGTGAAAATGATTAAGTAAAACTCATCTTGAAAATAATGCAGTTTGTGTCTGTCATGTCAATTGAACTGATGCCATAACACGAAAAAGAAAATCACGTACTAAATTTGCGTCTATATGTTCCTGCAACTTCCACGGAGCTTTTGTTCCATGGAGTTTGATAGAAGTGGGGACTCTTTTTTTTTGTTGAACTTTTTGTTCGGGTCGGGTTAGTGTCTGAAGCGGGTTAGTACAAAAAAGTGTTAGATATGGGTGAGTCTTTTTAATTATATGTTTTAGTTTTGGTTAAGAAGTTGCCACACGGATTTAAATAATTATTATTTTTAATTCAGCATTGACCTAACGGTCAAAGGGCATTATTGAACCAAAAAGGTGGATGGAGGGATATTTTTAGCCCAATAGGTAAATGAAGGATATTTTTAAACCTTTTACAATAATTTAAGGGCATTTTTAACCCTTTTCCTAATTTATATTGGGAAAATATAGCATATTGTTAATATAAACTTTATACGGTTAATGTAATTTAACGTATTATTTCAGATTAACATGTTGGTTACAAAAATGTAAGTTATCTACTTACTCGTCGCAAGCCTTAAACGGTATCTTCTTTTTTCCATGGCGATCGTCATCACCATTATCTTCTTCTTCATTTGGTTGGCCATCCCATACGAGCAAAGACAAAGTTTTACGTTCAACTCCTTCACTGCCATTCTCAAAGGCCTCTGCAAAACTACGTTTCTGCTTCACCTCTGAGAAGTTATCACCAAAACTATCCTTCCTCATCATATGAGCAATGCCATTTTGGCCTAATCCTTTGATATTGGTAGGAAAATTATTATAAGGAAGAGCAAGACCAAGCTCAAGCTCCATATCATAAGAATATTATACTAAAATAATCTCAAAAGAGACAAGTGTATAAAGCTTTTTTATATTCCATTACTTGGCTAGCTTTACTTTGAAGTTGTACATGTTTATATATAGTAGGCTTAAAGAGAAAGAGATTAAGAAGGGTAACAAATGTCGGTTGAGAAAGGAAAGAAAAAGGAGAATCCATTGAAGTTGGGTCGGGCAAAAGAGTAGCACTGATATAGAAGTTTATAGCCCACCTTGTCTCTCTCTTGTCCCCATACATATTGGTACATCTCCTCTTTAATATCTCTCTCACACACTTCCCCTTAAAACTTTACGTTTGTGTGTGTTAAAGGTACTAAGAAAGTGTTTTTTTCCTTACTTTCTTTCATGTAAGTACTATATATATATAGAGTATTATATTAGTGTTTGATGCAGACCCAAAACTTTTATTAAGAGAATTCAAAATATAAAAGTGATTCGTCATATATTATATATTTATTAATAAAAAATTCACCTATATGATTATATAAAAAAAATCGTTAAGTGCAGAGCCACTGCTTTTTTGCACTTAACAAGCTCGTTCCACTCGCCATAAGTTCAAAATTTTCTTAAGAAATAGGAGTAGTCAATTAATGAGAAAATTAGTATATGATTATTCGACTTGATTATTGTTGTTAGTTCGTTAAACTCTAGTAGAGAAATTGTAGATTTTACAACTTCTGAAATTAAGAAGCTATATTATTTTGATCAAGTGATCTTCTGGAACAAATTAATTAAATAGAAGTTAACAACATTATTTCGAGTATTACCATTAATCAGTCAACTAATCCATCAACTACTATTATTCAATATGGATCAACTATCTGAATCCTAAGAAGCTGTTTTGACATGCATTTTGAGCATTACTTAACATAATAAATTTTGCGTATATGCTGTTCAAAGAGCGAAATAAAGACGGTTTTAGGCATTTCTTATGCGGAGATGTACATATTTTTACTTCTTCTCTTTGTGCTCTTTAAATGTGTACAAAATTACTTTTGAAAGATCAAGTCGCTTAATGCCGACGATAATTTTTCACTTAATCTATATTATATTATTAAAAGGAGAGGAAAAAGCCCTCTCCTTAAGCCAAGTGGCAGCCTAAAAAAATGCCACATGGCATAATTGGTTACTAATTAGTTATTTAGTTTATAATTAGTTATTGGTTACTTATTTTTGAATTTAAATACATATCAAAAAAGAAAATAATAAAATACAATAAAAAACTACCATATATATTAATTGGTTACTTTATTTGGATTAATAAATATAGATATCTTATAATTAAATATAATAAGAAAAACGAAAAATAAATATATAAAAAATAACTACCCATTCAAATTGGGTGGAGTTTTAAAATTATTTTAAAATAAAAAAATGAAAAATATATTTATATATAATATACATTTAAAAAACTAAAATAATAAAATAAAATATATATATA